TTTCACGGAACACATATCCTGTCGATCTAGTGCCCTCCCGTGGCCTTATTCTATATGGCCCGTCCCTCTTGTCTATAGAACACACATACATATAACAACACCACAAGTTCGCACGAATTTTCTTAGCTCTTATCATAACGCACCCATCAACTTTTCTGTCACGTTCCACAGTAGCATGAACTCCTTGGCTGTATGTTTCATTACACGAACGCACGCTTTCGCTCTTCGGAAAGCCCTTAAACATATCAAAGACAAGGAGCGTCAGATTGCTCTCACTCTTACTTTGTTCCATATGGACGACCTGGCCAGCTTCAAAAACAGGTTTGAATCGTATTTACTGCCGGCATAAGTTCCAAAAAAACCGAGGCAGGTGTAGGTTCCATCGGCCGTATTCCCCACCGTCACTCCTGAGAGCACCTCGCACCTGGTCCCAAAACGCTACAACAGCTCGACAATTAATCATAAAATGTCAGGCTGGTCCGACCCCGTCTCTGCAAAAGACGCGCCTCCCATCAATTACTCCGTATATTTTCAGCATCTTGTTAGGTAGAAGCATTCTACGCCATGTGCAGAGTTGGGGCAACCTAAGCCCAATGTTTTTGTACTCGCGAGCTGGCGCCCCATTTGGCACGGCGTGTGGAGGCCCCACGAGCCGCAACGTCTGAGGTAGGGGCGTGGGAGTGTACACGGTGTGAAGCTCCGCGCCCCGGCCGTCAAACCGCGCGGCCGCCAGCTGCGCGCGCCCCCGCCGCCAAGGCTACTGCACCTGTGACGCGCCGTGAGCGTGGCATATGGGACCTGCACAGGTGCGGTCTAAAACAACACCACGGCCTGTGTACTTTATTACACCTCGAGGTGTATTAACACTGACGTGTTCAGTCTGGTGAAGACGAGGGTGGGGGGGGGGGGGGGGGGGGCGAGGCAGGACTGGTGAGCTGACTATGACGAAAGGTGCAGCTGTGTATGCTTTTGATGGCTTTTTTAGCTTGAATATTGCGATGCACATTAATATAGTGTGGTTTACAGGCTCAATATGTTGCTCAGTAGCTCGGGCTTAAAAGCGTTAGCCGCTGAAAGAGGGCCCTGCGTGCTTTGATATGCGTCGCTCTGCGTGCCGGAGGACCCGGTGTGGGTAAGCGGCCGGGCGCCGGATCCCAGGTCCTCCGGCCGGCGTCTGACGTCATCTGTCACGCCACTCGTGGCCCGAGCTGCGAGGCGGCGCAGTGACTTGTAACGTCACCTGTGACGTCACCTGCCGGCAGGTATTGTGGCCGTGCTGTTCTGCGGCATCTGCCAGGCCCACTACACGTACAACAACCTCTCGGATGAGGCGCGCGTCAGGACCAAGGACTTCTTCGAGATGATCAACTTCCTGGCGGAGAACTTCATCTTCAGCTATATCGGAGTCTCGCTCTTCACATTCCCCAAACATCAGTGGGATTTCGCCTTCATCAGCTGCGCCTTTGTATCCTTTGACGGGCTACGAGAAGAGCGGCGTGGAAGGGGTACAGTAGCAGCACGCTGTTTGCTTTCTTTTTTGTGTGCGGTGTTTGTCGTGTGTGAAATTTCATTGATTGATTTATGATCGAGACTTTGAGGCGCGCCACGACCAAGGTCATTTTGTACCCGAAAGCTCCGGGTGGGACCTGATCCGACATGATCGTGTTAAGTTGCACGTTTCGGTCGTTGCGATTCGCTGGGCTCGTCTTCCACTCGGTCTAGTTTGAGGTGTCGGGGATTGTCGAGTGTCGGGTCACTCTGCCCGCACTTGGCGTGCATGGCTGCTGGTCGATTCTCTCGGTCGCAGCCGCTGTGGCGCAGCCTTCAGGACAGTCACGACGCAGGATTAGCGGCGGGGCCTCATGTTCAGGTGGAAGGGGCTTCAGGACCACCTCCCCCGCCAACTCTGCTTCAGCCGCCCTCAACTTGGAGAGGAAAGCGGTGGGTGGAGACTTGACCACAGGTGGAGACCAGAGTGAGAATCCGTGGAGAACTTGGACTTTGCGTGAAAATGTGGGCAGCTCACAGTCCACTGGGCTGTGTCCACTCAGCGCCGGGTGAACGCCGGCTGCTGTCGCGGCGGGCCGGTGTCGGGTGAGCGCCGGCTGCTGACCGGCGTCGGGTCAGCGCCGGGTGAGCGCCGGCTGCTGCCGCGGCGGGCAGACGGAGCCGCGGCCCCGCCTGCCGCGCCGGCCGCGGCTCCGCGGGCTCTGTAGCCGGTTAGTGTCCTTGACGGCGCCGTGTGCAGGTGTCGCTCTTCATCGGGCGTCTGCTGAACGTGTACCCGCTGTCCTGGCTGCTCAACCTGAAGCGTAGGCCGGTCATCCCGCTCAACTTCCAGCACATGATGTTCCTCTCCGGTGAGTGGCTATGGCGCGGTGTCTCTCTGCCACTGATGGTCTGGAACCCCGGCCGGGGAGACTTTCAGCTGCCCTGGATGGTAGGAGCCCAGAGCAGACGCCTTGAAGTGCCAGCACATTTGAAAGTTTGGCGCGGACGCCCAGTGTGTTAAATTGCAGGATTTGGGATGAAAGTAACGCATTTTACGGCGACTTCGGACTCTCAGTTTTAAATTCGTGTGATTGTCATCCCCATTCATGGACGGGTTAGTTTACCGCTGATTTTGGTCTCCTTCAGGGCTTTGACGAAGGCATGTCAGTCCCCTTGTCATCTCCTGTCGAGGCAATTTTGATGAGCTGCTGACGACGAGGTGGCATGCATGATTTGTGCCTATGGTCTTGTCCATAATGATGGGGCTCCCACAAATATGTCGCCCAGGAGGCGTTTCCGTTTGATCGCCGAGAAAGAATCAGCCGGCACGCGGTCCATATATGCCGTTGTGCGGCCTGTTCTGTTACATCAGATCCGCGTCAGGAGGGGCGCGTTCCTCATGTGTGAGCTGTTTATGGACGGGTGCCCTCCACGCTCATTCGAACATTTGCGGCTTGGTATGCCAGCCCGCGTGACGTTTGCAAGGCGCTGAAGCCGCTCGCGCGGGGCGGAATCCCTCAGAGCGCCCGGCATTCGGAAATGGCCTCCAGGAGGTTCGAGACGCAACCGTATGTAAACACAAATGCATGCTGCACCCATATCTACCAAAGCGGTCTGGCCCGCCGTGCGGGCCGGTGCCATTTTACGCGCTTGCGTCACGGGCATGCCACCTCTGGGCGCTCCGTCGTAGTTCGTCTTCAGGGCTCTTCTGATCTGACCTCGTTGGGTTTGGCCGTGGTCACGTAGGGGACTGCGTTGGGTGCCCATAGCGTGCGCGCTGGCGATCCCGGAACAACTTACTCTGTGGGTCTGTCAGACCATCCTCACGCCACCTCCATCATCGTGGCCGTGACCGTCATCTACGGCGGCCTCACTACCCAGCTGCTGCTCTGGCTGGGCATAACCGTGAGTCCTGCTGCTGGGGGAGCTGACGCGGTCAAGGCAGCCGTGCCGTTGGCTTCGTTGGCTTTTGTGGCGGAACAGAGTTTTGACAGAACAGAGTGGTGTGTGTTTTACACTTACAGGCTAAAGCGAGGCTTTGTTTGCCGGTCGGGTGCAGGCTGTTGCCATCACGCTCCGAAACGGTGAAATAGCATGTCGAAACAAGCGTTTGGCAGTCACTTTTAACGCCACCTGTTACCAATTCTCAGAAGCGTTGGCATGCCGAATCCTCACAAATCGTCTCGCGAAGGAAAACTCGTGAAAGGCGTGGGGCTCGGTCACGTCGAATGGCACCGCCATCGGCGGCCTTTCGGGATGTGTCGGGGGCCCGCCGTGAATGTCTCGCCAGCAGGGCGGCGGCTGACCTGACGTGACCTGGCCGGCAGTGTGGGCGGCGAGGAGGACGACGAGACGACCGGGCTGAACCAGCTGCAGCGCTGCCGCCCGGTGAGTGTGGGGTGCAGCCCGGTTGTGCCGCCGGGGCAGGGGCAGCCAGCGTCGCCCGTCCGGACCTGTGTGTATCGCTTCACTCGGCCTGTGGCGCTGCTGACTGCTTGGGGATGCCCGAGGACGGCGGTTTGACGTGTGGCTCGTACAAATCACACCAGCTGTGTCAAATGGCTGTCCTCAAATGCCCACTCACTCAAGTGCGAGTCTTGGTTCCGCGTATTAATTGAAACTGTGCAAAGTTTTAAAACTTTCTCTCACTAAGACACGGGTCCGCCGTCCTCGGGTGCATTTTTATCAGCAGCTAACGGCTCAGTATTTTGTTTAGTTTGCTTATGCGTGGCTGATCTGCTTACAATGGGATGCGTTTCGTTCTTTTTGTAAGCTTGCCGTCGTTCGTGGACCGTGCGTATGAGTGAGTGCGCGTGCGGCGGGGTATGGTTTGTGACGTCGAGTGGCACGCCGTGCATTCAACTTTGACTCCTTGTTTTGCATGTTGCAGGTATATAGCGCGATGGAAGGAAGGGTAAGACTCTGCACCTTGCTTGGCGCAATGCATGGCCGGAACACCGTGCGTTTTAGACGCTTGTCTCCTGTTGTTGTTCGCCAGCCGTGCAGGGCTGCACAAGACCAGCCATGTGACGTCTGCTCCCTGTCCCTCCACCCAGAGCTGGCTCAAAGTCGGATCGTGACGTGTGCTCCAGTGTTTGGGATGTAGCGGCCTGTACACTTTAATTCTACTAGTCTTCCGCTGCACGGTGTCGTTTATTTCGTGGCGTAGCCATTCAGCCTTCTGGTTTTCGCGTGGACTGCGCGTTGAAAACCTTTGGGTGCAAATGACTTTGCCATTAAGCAGTAATGTACCCCAGTCTAGTGACTCGGGTTCACTCGTGCCGCGTGCCGGAACGTTTTCGGTGAACGATTATGAGGTACGGGGCAGTTTCATCTTTTGGCCCGTGTATTTCGAGACAAGCTGTTCCGCGAATGGTTGATCGTTCTCCGATCAGACGTTGTGTTGATACCTTTGTCTGAAGTAACTGGTTTCCGTCCGTTGAGAGGGTCTCCGTAACTGAGTGCCACTCGGCGGTAGGCTATGCGCGCGCCGGAATTGAGACACCGTGTCGCTTTTGATGTGGCCTTTGTCTAACTTATGGCCATGTGCAGATTTGTGTCGAGATACGCGGTCCGTGACCACGGACACCCGGCGCAGGACCCGTACACTGTGTACCGGCCTGCGAGAGGCTGCCGGCCGTGAGGGGCTGCCGGCCGTGAGAGGCTGGCTCTTAGAGGCAGCCGACCGTAGAGGCCGGCCGTGAGAGGTAGCCGACCGTGAGAGGCGGCCCTGGGAGGCAGCCGGCCTTGAGAGACCGGCTTCGAGAGGCAGCCGGCCAGGAGAGGCTGCCGGCCGTGAGAGGCCGGCCGCGAGAGGCAGCCGGCCGCGAGAGGCAACCGGCCGTGAGAGGCAGCCGGCCGTGAGAGGCTGCCGGCCGTGAAAGGCCGGCCAGGAGAGGCAGCCGGCCGCGAGAGGCAGCCGGCCGTGAGGGGTTTCCGGCCGAGACAGACAGCCGGCCGTGACAGACAGCCGGCCGTGAGAGGCAGCCGGCCGTGAGAGGCAGCCTTGAGTGGCAGTTGGCTGTGAGAGGCCGGCCGTGAGAGGCAGCCGGCCGTGAGAGGCAGCCGTGAGACGCTGCCAGCCTTGAGAGGCAGCCGTCCGTTAGAGGCAGCCGGCCATGAGAGGGTGCTAGCGGCTGTGCGCTCTATGGTGTCCCATCCGGCCGATCAGCCGGCGCCGCACCGACGCCATCCGTACCTTGTCCGCCAGCGCGGCCAGCAGAACGAGACGGGCGCCAGAGACAACCCGGAGAAGGCGCTGCTGGTGCGGCTGTGGTCGGACTTCGACACCAGCTTCATGAAGCCGCTGCTGACGCACTCGCGGCCCACCCTGCTGGAAACGATGCCGCTTTGCTGCCACCCGTTAGCCCGCCTGCTAACCAGCACACAGCAGTTGACGCAGGTAATGATGACCAGCAGCTGACGCTGGTAACAACGCTCGGCGCCCAGCAGCTAACATTGGTAACAATGCAAAGGATGTACAAGCTGACACAGATAACAACATGCAACAGCAGACAAGTAGACCAACATCCAATACTCAACATTTGACATTGGTAACAACACACAGCATACATTACTTTGTGCAGGCAACAGCGCGTGGCAACTGGCCCTGGAAATGACAATCAGCACTTATCAGCTTATGCTGGTAATGACATGCCACACCCAACAGCCGACACAGGTGCCACCAACCAGCCCTCAGCGGCTGACACAGTGACAACGCTTTACACCCAATAGCTGGAACGTAGTGGGATGCATCACCGCCGACTCATATTAGCAGCCAATCATGCCCAGCATTGCCCATCAGCTGACAGGAAAATAACTTGACCTGACGCTCCGCCCCTGCTCTCCTGACGGCCCGCCCCCTGCCATCTTGAAGCTCCGTCCCTGCCCTCCTGACGGCCCGCCTCCGCTCTCCTGACGGTCCGCCCCCTGCCATCGGGAAGCTTCTCCTGCCCTTCTGACGCTCCGCCCGCGGTGGCAGGACACGAGCAACAAGTACGAGGAAGACGGCGAGCTGTGCCTGGAGGCGGACGAGGCCAGCTTCCAGCACGGCGACAACGGCTCGGTGCACTCGAGCGGTCACCAGGTCAGGCAGCCGCGACGGACGCCAGGGCTCGTTGGGGCCTCGGGCGGGCCCGGGCCCGCTCTGGGGTCAGGGCACGCTTCCGATGGGTCTGGTTGAACCAGTAATGGCTGGGGCAATCAAGTCAAGGCTGGTACGTCGGGTTCACTTTGGCGGGGGCCGGGTTTGTGGGGCTACAGCTGGGTCCAGACGAGGGTTGCTGCCTTCCCTGGAAACAAGACGGGGCCGCTGTTGACCCGGCTGCGGGCCAGTAGGTGTGGAACGCTCCTGCGCGCTCCCTGACGGCCGCCTCGAGCTGCGGGTGGGTCGCGGACCCCCGGACAGCCGCGCCCTTCCGAGCTCACGACGATCGGCGCCGGTGCTCGCTCCCGCACGCGTTCTCATCCATGCTGTCACAGGCAGAGCGTGTATGTTGTCAATGGCCTCGCCTTCCGCCGGACTGGGGCCTCGCTCCGGAGTGCGATGGTCCCTCGGTTTTATATTCGGGGTAATCCTGTTGTTGCTTTCCTCTCATTGTCGGCAAATTCTTCTCTGTGTGCACTAACTTCGGTGGCGGCGTGGCTCGTCTCATTTTTCTCCTGTGGTTTGATTGTATAGCCATGAAGGCTGAAACATTTGGCGCTGATGCACGCTTAGCGGTCAGATATGCATGAAGGCCTCGTTAGGTAGACCGCAGTTATGACCAACCTTGGCGCGTACACGTGACTAGGTGTCGTCTGAGATCGACAGAGATAGGACAGGTTAGCTCCTAGGTTACGTACGTTCTTAGTCGCACCCCACCGGTCCGTTGTGATTGTAGCACCGTCGCAGTGTTGTCGCCCCATCGCAGCGTAGTCGCACCTCCCGTGTCTCACCAGTTAGCACCAGTGTACGTCGAGTGTCGATGATCTCCAGACACGCCCCCGGCTCTGTCCAGGGGCTGTCTTGTCCCAGTCATGGCGCCTTCAGGTGAGGGGGGGGGGGGATGGTCTCGTGTGCGCCGCTAGCGGTCCCATGCCTCGGCGCGATTGCCGTTACTCTGTCCAGGGGTTGTCTTGTCCCAGTCATGGCGCCTTCAGGTGAGGGGGGGGGGGGGGGGTCTCGTGTGCGCCGCTAGCGGTCCCATGCCTCGGCGCAATTGCCGTTACTCTGGCCGGGGGCTGGCCGGGCCTCCGTGACATCCTGCCGTGGATTCCCTGGCGTTGCAGTCTCCGTGATGGGCTCCCGCCTGACCTGAGCTGGCGTCTGAGTCAGCACTTGGCTGTGATGTTCGCCTCTCGTGTGTCCGTGTGAGCCTCAGAGGCGTGTCGTCTTTACCAGTTGTGTGGTGTCCCTCACGGGAGCTACACTCCGTGATCCCCTCGTGGGAGCGGTATACACTTTGAGTCAACCCGTCCGGTGGCTGTGCGTGTAATGTGGCTACATGACTGGCAGCACTTAAACGTGATGCTGCGTTTCGCTGAACGTGTCCGATTGTCCGTGGCCGTGGTCGTGTTTGGACTATACACGCTCTGATGCGTTCTAAGCGTGCTCACCGTGTCTGTCTGCACCTGTAGTGGGGGTACACGCTGCTCCCCATCTCTGAGTTGCGCCAGGCGCGCGCGCGACACCTGCTCTCCTGAGCCGTGAGTGGGCGCCGGCCGCGCAGCTGACCGCGGACGGGAGAGCCTGCTGCACGCCCGGGGGATATAGGCACTCTGGCGGCTGTGTTGGGCTGGGGACCGCCGACTGCGGTGGATCGGTGGACGAGGGCCGGGCTTGACCGGCGGCAGCCCCGGCCGGCGGAGGCCCCGGTCGATGGAGAGCCCGGCCGGTGGAGGCCCCGGCCGGTGGAGGGCCCGGCCGGTGGAGGCCTCTGCTGTCTGCCGCCGAGGGTGATTGCGGAGGTATCGTGCACGGCAGATCGGCAGAGGTGACGGTTGTGGTCGGCTGCTTCTTGGTCTGGTGGTGACGGTCGTGGCGGTAGGCGGTTGGGGACGGTCGGGTTGCACGTTTCATGCGGCATGGTAATGGCGTTCCGGGAGGGACCGCCTGATGCTAGCTTCATTGGGATGGACGTGGGCAGCATAAGATTTACTGGCCCCCGTCGGCCAGTAACTTGAAAACTTGTCGATGCAGTCTTGACCGATTTCACCAACCATTTAGTGTGGTCGGACTGGGCGTGTATTCAGTGACGTTTCGACGGTGGTAGGGCCAGTTCCTGTCGCCATCCCCCCCCCCCCCCCCCCTGTGATGGACGACCGCTCAAAAGCAACCGCCACACACTTGCTGTGCAGAAGCCCCGCATCGCACCCGTTGTTCGGCGTGGCCACGTTACTGACACCCTGTCTGTTCCCTGCGCATGCGCGATGACCCAAAGCAGTCATCCGGTCCGGACGTGGACGCCATAGATCTGACACCCGCTGCCAGCCACATGTGGTAGGACGGCGGCTGGCCTGCACGGCCGATCTGTGTGTGTGTTTGTGTGCGTGTGCGTGTGTGTGTGCGTGTGTGTGTGCGTGTGCGTGTGTGTTTGTTTGTGTGTGTATGACCACCATTCTGCGCGAGATTTTCCACACGGACTGGGACTACCTGTGGACACTGTGCTTGCCTCTCTCGCAATGATTGGCGTCGGGTCGTGGGGCCCCGCACGTCCGGGGCATAGTGCACTGGGATGATGAGAGGACCCCGGAAGCAAGCGTGCGACCGTTGTCAGAACTGGCCCGCTGTTCGTGCCTCAACGGCTCTAGGTGCCAGATGAGACACGTGGGCGACGCCGGACACTGGCTGCGCCGCTCGTGAGACACGCCCTGTCCAACGCTCGCAACACGCCTTGCGTCTCGTCCTTGAGACACTGCTCACCGCATGCTTCTGGGGATTGGGTCAGTTTGGCCGGTGGCCAGTCTGCGCCCTCTGCTTGCGTTGGTGTGGGTCTGGCTTGCCACTCTCTTGTCTCTAATGCGCTTCAATCTCATCTCTGACTGCCTGTGCGTGCGGCCCACTCCTCGCTTTTTCCGAGTTGTTTGTCTGCAGGGAGCTTGTATCGATACTGTACGAGGTTACAAACGACTAACTAGCTCACGCTCATCGCTGAGCGTCATCATGAACTCACCATAGTGCTCGCCTTAATCTCGTCTATACGAATGGAAACTTGTGACTTGGACGTTTTTTCGAGACAGGCGTTGCATTCAAAACATAAGCTACGTATGCGTGATTTCTTGCAGCCCGGGAACGCTCTTGTATGAGCGTACGCGCAGTCTGTCGTGTTCCGTTGCGCTTAGCCAGGTGGCAAGCTGTTTGTCATGTTTTTGCTCTCATGTGTGGGAATATGACGTCATATCGTGTGCGATATGGTTTGAATTTTTAGGTCGTTGCAGACCGTGCAGCATTTTGCACCGCAAAGCTCTTTCCATTGAGTCTGTAAGTCAAACATCGTGCGCGCCTAACCTTTAGCTCTCTATTATTCAGGCAGGCGTGCCTTCGTTGACTCTAAAGGCCAAACAACGCTGAGATCTGAGGTTATGACCAGACTTGTGCTTCGCCAGGTCTTACCCCGCATCAGCTTGGTTTCGTATGCAGGCCTTGGCAGTGTCGGTATTGGACCTCAGGCCATGCTATTATAGGCCAGTTATAGCCTTTACTCGAGACAATCCAGCTTCTAAAGCGGTGTTGGCAGTTTGCATATATTCTCACCTGTTCTGACCACTGGGTTTATTTTTTCGCCTTGTGTTGATCACGCGGAGGGGACGACTCAAGTGAAAGAGCCGCACTGAACTCCAGTCGGCTTTCAACAGCTAAGGACGGCGGCGGCTTTGTCTTTTGGGCGTTGGCAATCTTGGGGAAAGGATTGCGTAGTCAAATCAACCTATTTTGGTTCTTATTGCGCATGATTGACGCGTCTGAACATGATGGGACATGAAGACGTAGTCTCGTATCTGAAGACAAGAGAATTCAGTTTTGTGTGCTTGGATACGTAAGACTTAACCGAAGATTTACAATAGAAATCATATCACAAAAGGTTATGCTATTACAAAAAGCTACGGTCCCTATCATGACATCCGCACAGAATATTGGACTTAGGTGATTCTTCTGTGACGGCGGCTTCGCCTCCCTTGTAAGTGACGCCACCGTCGCTCAACTTTCTGTACGGTTACACGAATGGTGAAACAGCACTGTTCTGCTGCCATTAATTTTGTCCCCGTCTGGCGGTCTGGCTACCGCTCGCTGTATTGTGACCTGGCCACCGGTTCATGGCTGTGATGATAACCCTACTCCTGCCCCCTGTCTGGCGACCTGACTCCTGTCCCCCGTCAAGTGCCGAGGTTCCCGTGCCGTGCCTGGCGCCGCAGTGGTCGTCTCGTGTGTGTCCTGTGCGCCGCGTGCCGCCCGTCCGATGTCGCTTGGCGCCGCCCTGCTCGCTCCGGTGGCGCCGTCCAGAGCGTGCCGTCGGGTGACCCCAGTGGCCGGCTGCACGCAGATGGCCGCCGTCTCTGACGACGGCGACCTGGGTACCGGCTCGACGGCGGGCTACCAGCGGACGCCGGCGCCCCCCGTCTCCACGCGCGTCCACCTGCAAGGGCACGGGCGCGGCGACAGCTTGTAGGGGCGGCCGCCGCCCGAGCTCGGCCACGCTATGTCGGAGGCCGCTGTGATGTCCGCCACGAGGGCGCCGCCGCCGCCGCCGCCGCCGCCGCCGGCTCTGCTGCGATTTTACAGGGCTCAGCTGCTTCGAGATTATCGGGGCGGTGCTGTCGTGGCGCTTCTCTGCTGCGAGGAGAAGCGAGGCGCAGGTCCATTCCTCTGCTGCGGTGGCAAGGGCGGGTGGGGCGGGCGGGGCGGGGCGGGGCGGGGCGGGGCGGGGCGGGGCGGACCGGGCCGGGCCGGGCCTTTGCCCGGCGAGACACATTCCGAGACAGCATAAGAGACGTCGGAGGCAGCGCAGAGCTAGCCGGCTGTAAATAGGCCAGAGAGCGTCCGCACCTCTCACACTCACTGCACGTTTGTCGCACCCAGTCTGCGCATGCCCCGACCGTCTCGGCCGCTGATGCGACGCCGCAGCCGGACCTCTGCTGGTCCGGTGTCCTCTGGTCCTTCGCACACTGCAGCGGCCGAGTGCGGTTGGCCAGTGACCGGGGACGGTGTCTCAGAGCGGCGCGCGTGTTCGCAGAGGAGGCGGCCGCCCGGCCGCAGCACCAGCTACGGCTCCATGTCACTCTGAGCGGGTATCCCGCTGGCCGGACTCCCGCGAGTTCCGCGGCGGCCCTGCCGCGCGCGCCAGTGATCAAACGCCATTCGCGCCAGTCGGGCGGCGGCCGCTGGCTCCGAACGCGCGCCAAACACGACGGAAGCGGGAAGCAGCGAGTGTTGTCGATATTGTGGTGGGCTCCGGCGGTGGAGTACGAGCTGTTGTTGCATCGGTGTCATAATTTACTTCGGCGATTGTTTACGTTGTTATTTTTTACTCCCGTGTCGACAATATTTATGGAGAGGGAGTCGCGATATGCTTAGGGGCGGACGGCTCCGGCATTCCGTACCGCAGCCCGTTTACGACTAATCTCTGGCTCCGAGCCGGTCTATATCACAGTCCGCCTGTGTTGAGTGGCGCAGTGTGTGCAAGCATGTCAGTCATTCAACTTATAAATCAAGGATACGTATCGTGCGTTCAGCCAATCGGTGTTTGTATCCTTCGGTGCTTATTATATGGAATGTCGTAAGCCGCGCGTCTCATTCCGTTCGGCCAGTTTGCACTCAACTGCGGGATGGAGCCGCGTCGTCCATGTATGAGGCCGCCATCAGAGGCCATGCAGCCCGGGGAGCGAGACCGCTGGACAGCGCGCCGGGCGTCCAGAGCGGGGGCAGACGCCCGCCCAGCGCTGTCATGGGCGTCACCGTCCGAACAGCTGGCGCAACACCAGCCAACACACGACGCCTGCTGCCCGACGGCGCCTGCCGACCAATTGAGCTATTTCCCAAAAGCGAGGAGTAAACATCTACGTGGACGGAGTTCGGAGATCGTGACAAACACTACTCATGGCGGCAGCCACCACACCGCACATCACGTCTGCGGCCGCATATGTGCCGAGATCACGGCCGCGCACAGCGCCGACGGCAAGCTCAAACACACTCAAATCTGACTAGAACGGACGGTGGAGCCGCAGCTACTGAGATCTCGTGAATACGCCGACAGGGGGTGAGGCGCCCATGGACGACTTAAACATTGCACTGGCGGAGGAGGGCCGCTGGCGGGCCTGTGGACCCGTCAGCCCACCACTCTCCGCTGATGGTGCTGCGGACTGCCCGGACAACGCGACAGATCGGCGCAACAGATCGGTGCAACGGATCAGTGCGACAGATCGGTGCGAAGGATCGGTGCGACAGATCGGTGCCACACGTGTGATTCGATCAGGGCCGTAGAGCTAGCCACAGAACGATCGTGGTGGTGTGTCGGCGCCCCGACGCCCTACCTCCGGCGCTCGCAGACGCCAGCCCCGCCGGCAGCAGGTAATCCAGTGACGCCAGCCCAGCCGGTTGCAGTGACGTCACCGTGACGTCATCGACGGCAGCATCTCGTCTATATGCTCTCCTTGTACTCAGGGATGAGCTGTTCGCGCACGTACAGCGAGTAGACGAGGCCCTGGCGTTTGTCGCCGCTCGTCACGGCCCTGATGAAGGCTGGCTGCTTGGCCACCTCGAAGTGGGTCTCAGTGCCGTCGTCGACAAACTCGCCCTGCCGGCGGGCGATCGGTCAGGCACCGCTGGAGGCGACGGCGGCCGCTCGTGGTATACAGCGCTGTTGGCGGCGGCTGCCGCGCTTGGGCCGTCCCACGCGTCTGGTGTGCCGAGGCAGATATACCCACCCGGGGAGACGGCGAGCTGTCGATAACACAGGGGACGGACTTGGGACCTCAGCTGTCCACAAAGTCCGCCGGCGTGCCCCGCCCTCTTCGCGTCCAGGCACACATAACAAGCACTGCCCAGCAAACAACCGTCAAAACATGAAATCTATTCGCAGAAGACGCCCCCCGCGCTCGGGAAACGTTCCCAGTGCGTATGAGACGGCTCCAGTGCACAACGGCCCCGGTGCGTGACGGACCCGAGCTGAACGCTTTGCCCAGCACCTGATACAGTGGCTTACCGCTGTCTCCAGTTTCCGTCCGTTCACCCATACGTCCAGCGTGCCCTTCTCTGAAATACCGCCGGCGGACGGTGAGTTCTGGCCCTGGCGGTCACGGTGATCGACACGGACTGGCGACGGCAGCGAGACTCCCGTCACAAGGTCTAGAGATGCACAGCTGACATGCACGGCATTTGCGCAATTTCACTATTTTAAATTTCTCTAACGAGGCTATAAAATGTCTTTGAATGCCCAGAGGTGTGCTGCGCCGCCGTTGCCGCCCAGCGTTCCCTCCCAAGACACCGCACGGAGCCGCGCCGTGTGTGGCCACCTCACCCCCGCTGCTTACCGAGGACGACCCTGTATGTGCCTTCGGAGGCATTCACCAGCCAAGTGCGCATGACCTTGGACTGGTGCTGGTGAAGTTGCGGAAGGCCTTGCCGTCGACGTCGAGGGAGTACTGATAGGCGAACGCGCCGAACGGCTCGATTTTGACGGTGCAGCGGACGCGCTGCTTGCCCACCTCGAACGACTCGCTGCCGACGAGGCGGAACATCCAGTCCCGGCGCACCACCTCCTGAGGTCACGGGAACAAGTGAGCATCCAGTCCCACAGCACAACCTCTTCAGGTCAGGAGAACACATGAGCATCTAGTCCTTCAGCACCGCCTCCTGATGTCATGAGAAATGTGAGCATCCAATCCCACACCACCACCTGAGATCAGGAGGACCCGTGAGCACCCAGTCCCGCAGCACCACCTCGTGAGATCATTAGAACACACGAGTGTCCAGTCCCACCACACTACATTCTGAGGTCAGAACACAAACATCTAGTCCCACTGCACCACCTCCTGATGTGAGCAGAGCATGTGAACTCCAGTTCTGCCACACCACCTCCTGAGGTAGTGAGAAACATGAGCATCCAGTCCCACTTCACCGCCACCACCACCTGCATTTATGAAGCACACAAGCATCCAGTACAGCCACACCACCTCCTGAGGTCAGGAGAACACATCAGCATTCAGTCCTGCCACACCATCTGAGGCATGTGAACATGTGAGCATCCAGCCCCACTGCACAACCTCCTGATGCCTTGAGAACACATGAGTGTCTACTCCCTCTGCACCACCTCCTGAGGCCACAAGAACAAGTGAACATCTGGTTCCAACACACCTCTTAGTCAGGTCACAAGAACATAAGAATGTCCAGTCTCACCCTACCCTTTTTCCTGCCACATCATCTCCTGTCTGACCATGATGCATGGCAACATGCCATTTCATCATGTCATACCAGCATTATAAAAAAACCAGAGGTACGCATCTGTTTGGATTCAAGACAATTTAGGAAGTGATGCTGTGTCCATGCTGCACAATGAAGCATGGATTGTCAATGCAATCACATAAAGAAGAACAGCTCAGTCTCTGTATGAAATTTAAAAAGGCTTACTTGTCCATCAACCTTGATGATACGCTTGCCAGAGATGGTACCATGCTCAACTTCAATTTGGTGGATGCCATCATTGCATGGTACATCCCACACAGCCACCAAGTCCAGAGCCATGACCTGGAAGCATTCATGTTTAGGTATTTTTTAACTTTGAAAGTACATATTGGACAACATTATGCTGAGTGGATGTATATGCACAGGTAGTTCCAAATTCAAAGAAGCTGCTAAGCAAAGTTTAATGAGGCTATGTTAGCCCGCCATACACGTTGTCTAGGCCGGTTTAACAACTGAAGTGCTACACAATGCTCTGACACAACATGAATATTAGCAGCAATTGTTCGTCAGACGCAGGAATAACATATTATTATTTCAACTTATCACCACTATAAAAGGCGTTACATTCTGTTTGGTCTAGTTTTGCATACCTCCAACCCCTTCAACGCCCGCGTGCTGATCAAAACTCTTATGCGTATGCGTCGGTCTCCGTAGGCCCCTCCGCCCCCGTCCCGTCAGTCAAACTGCCAGCTGTCTTTGCGAATCAGACTCTGAGCATATGTCTCTCATGCGCCATTTAGTGATCATTAGGGTAGTGATCAACGCATCGCGATAACCTTGAGCATACAGCTTCTTTGTTTAGAGAACCCCAGAATCTCCGCTGGGATTATCATAGCATCCAGTGCTGTACTGCGCGGGCGCTGGGTTGCATCTGTCCGTGAGTTGCGTTTTCCATTAAATTCGTCGCGAGTTCTGCGTGACCTAGGACGGTCATCAATTGTGCAATTTATTTGGTAGGCCTAAGGTGTTTGCTGTCGGGAGTTGGCATTTTACCGTCTGCATTTGTAATTTATGTATCAATGGCAACGCCCAGCCCCACTGCCGACGTATTCTTGCGTGTTGGGACCTGGTTGGACCTTTGTGAGATGCTGATTTGCGATGCTTGTGGCGTGAACTTGCCCAGCTCGACAACTATTCCAGCATAATTTTCCATTCAGGATTATGGGCCCAGCAAAAACATTAGCCCTGTCACATCAAATGCATGGCTTATCATGTGATGGAATCCTGATCCAGCAGGACACAAACAACTTGGGTGATGTTGACATACATCCATAGCATGTGCTGTTAAGAAAGCATACATGCAATGCATTTTGATTGCATCTGATTATGCTCAACCAAGTCACATGTGACAATAGGCTGGGACTAAAGTGTACCATCTTATGGTGCCCAAGGTGCTGCCCTTTTTGCCAGAGTGACATGCAGATGTCATTATATACCCAGCCTCAGCAACTGAGTGCCTTGTAAAGCACCACTCCTTTGACATGAGGGTTGAAAGTTGGATGCAAAACATTGTGCATGTATTGGTTCACACCTCTGATTCCAGATGCCAAGCACAACAATTATGTTTATACATTGGTGAGCTGAAATGATAGAAATTTCGTTGTAAGGTACCATTTGAAGTTCCCAATGAGCAAAACTTTCACAGATATGCAGAAAATTGGTGTGGGCATGTGTATCTGTGTGCATTTTTGTTTGTTAGGTCAGATATTTTTCTTTGAGAGGGCCTAATGGAGTGTAATTTATTTCTAATCTACATGATAGGAAACCTGTCACTAGCTTATGAGAGACTACTAGATAGAAACAAGTTCATAATGGTAATTATTTTGTAAATTTATTGTGTAAATTATTTTTTACCCAACTTTGGTGTATGGTCTAACAGGCATGCTATGTGATGCATTACAATTAGCTATCCTTAATTTACCTTGCAATACTTGATGCCATGTACCATGACTGCCTTGTGAAAGTTCAGTTATGATTCAACTCAAGTAAAACAGCAAGAGTTTTTAACATGAACTTGTCTTTAAACAAAAAAGCAAACAAACCATACATGTGTAGAAATGTAGGTGTATGGTTGCCGAGGTTGTGGCACCCACTCTTTCCAACAATGTTAAACATGATCCCCATCATGACAGATGAAAATAATTAATTGCCCTCAAAGCTGGTTATGGCATCACCTCTTTCTGGGAAGTTTCTCCTATCACCTATGTATATCACCAAAACATTGCCATGTCTCTCCATGCCATTCACTACCAGCTTCTGCTATTTCAGACAATTTGAACTTGAAAGGTCAGAATGATGGAGGAAGATGCCATTTTGGCTACATTGAAAATCCTGATCATAGGTGAAAGCGGCACTGGCAAGTCAAGGTAGGTCGCTGTGCATGGCATGGGGAAGGACCCATTTGAAATATATATATATATATATATATATATATATATATATATATATATATATCCAGGGATGAGACTGGCACATCAAAGCATTAGGAGAGACTTAAAAGGATTTTTAACCACAATTATGTGTTCATCAAAACTGTCCCACCTTGTCTCTCTGGCCACCTTAAAATGAATGACAAAATGCATGTAAAACTTTAAGCAGATTTAACCCATCTGTTTTGCATATGTTGTTGGCAGAAATAATTCCAAATTAACAAAGCTACTCTAGCTAGACCACAAAATATGGTACAGCCCCACATGCTAGGTGGCACATGGTTGTTGGCACTTCATTATTGCAGGTGAGGCCTCAGGTCAAGTGAATCTCAATCTATAAATAACTAGAAATTTGGCAGCTTTGGTGGCCAAGCCAATCACGATGGTGATGGGCTTCCTCACATCTGCAACCACTGATGAGACCAGAGGGAAGTTTGGCATCATGACATTTTCAATAGTTTAAAAATTTGTTCTATATGTTTGCAGCACTTAAGTTCAGACTGGTTTGATCAGGGAACATGGTTTTGCAACATCACAACACTGCCATTGTGTTTCACAGTTCAATTAATGGGAAACACAAATTGACAACTTACAAAAAGCTAAGGAACTAAGGGTTAGGAATGGGTCCAGATCTCAGCAACCAGGGGTCGCAGTAACATGACAATCGCTAGTACTGATGGGAGAAAATGGAAGTGTGTGCCATAAAGCATGTGTCAAAGTGTGCTGATGCTTGCAGTCATGCATAAGCCATGGAGCACCTGTTTTGGGGTGTTTTTTAGGTTTGATGCCAGGTCTTGATCAGATCAAATTAAAGTGCACACCGCAGCAAAAAATTTTACTGGTCACTTGGACCCAGTGATCATTTCAGTTTTTTTCATTTGTGTGTGTATAAATTTGACTGTAGCAGATCCATCTGGCATCTAGGTCAGCCCAAAAATGGTATTTTTGTGTCTGGGATACTTTTGCTCCACAGCTGCACCCAATGCAATAAACTTTTTTGGAACCACATGGTGAGAGAAAACCGAAAAGCGTCATTCTTGTGGCTATTGGTGGACCAATTTTGAATGGTCAGCTGACCTGACTGCACCATAGCGGGGGAACAGAAATGGTCGGAATGAACTCCCCACAGTTGTCAACATAGGTGTCAACTACATCTATCGGAACGACCGTTTTTGACCTTTCGTATCCTCTGGGGACCTCACGGTGACCTTAAGTTAAACAATCTGGTGCACATTTTTCATGATTTGACGTGACCTTCGCAACAATATCTTTGTTTTTTTTTAGTAAGACGTTTAGAAGTTGGATATCCCGGGGGAAATTAGCTGCCCCCCCCCCCCCCCCCCGGCGGGGCGCGGTTGTCACGGACCCCCGACCGAGCGCATGTTAACTATTCCAAGCCCCCTCGTCTCGTCGATCACAGTAACCAGGCCTGTGGGGCCCGTCGCGTGCCCATATCCCAGCAATATGATTCATAAACTTGTGTGCGGAGTGACCATCAACGCACCTCTATCAGTGACATCGCGCCTTGATATCAGCACATCTTCACCTACCAAAGTCATCGAGGTGGGATATTTGAACGCCTTTGAAGCTCGTTTCTTAAAGGGCCTCAAAGCTGACAGGTTTCATTCGCAATTTTTTGTTTGTTATTTGCGCGGCGACAACAATATTCTCCGCCGTCACGTTGCGCGTCGCAAAAGGCGACTGACTGCTAGCATGTTTGTAACTTGGCAAGCATCAGATGATACGCTGTTTACTTAAGCCAGCCAGGAGCTGTGCAGCAGTTTTTGGTTGTTGTAGGCCGAATATGCTGTTAAGTTGTCAGCCACCACGACGGAGCTACTTTGTTTCAGTTTGTTGCTGCGTTTTGTGGACAATACCTTCGATCCCGACCAGAGCGCTACCATCGGGGTCGACTTCAAGGTCAAAACCATCAATGTCGAGGGCAACAGGGTCAAACTGGCCATCTGGGTATGTCAGCTCGAAGTTTGTGGTTTTTATAAAGGCCCCATATGTCATTAGTTGTGATTCGTCCGGACAATCGACATGATCAAGGTGACGTCAGATCCCGCGCCTGTCGTACCCATGTTCCGTGGCTGTGAATAATGCCCGGACAACGGACATATCACTATCGTTGTGAATTCAGACCCGGGAGTCGGATTTACACCAAGCCATCTTGTGGTCCATTCATGTGCAGGCAACAATGACCCATTGTGGTTAACTTCTTCAGGCCATGGTCAGCTGATGGGAGCCTGCTTTGTCGCGTGACCTGGCTGTTCCACCCGACAGGACACGGCCGGCCAGGAGCGCTTCCGCACCCTGACGCCGAGTTACTACCGCGGCGCGCAGGGCGTCATTCTCGTCTACGACGTGGCCAACCGGGTCAGTTTCAGCAAGCTAGATATGTGGCTCAATGAACTTCAGACCTACGCCAACCGTTCCAACATCGTCAAGATGCTGGTCGGAAACAAGATCGACAAGGTTTGTATGCAGACACTAAGCATGCGTGTACAGTCGTACAGTGACTGCTGACGGAACCATTGTCGTCGTCCCGTTATGATGCATAGCTCGTGCGTGCTCGCCTGCTGCACCCGATCCGAGCGAGCTCGCCCGTCACCGTGTATCGATGTGTTCGGTCTCAGTCACGCGGTCGTGCCTGCCTGCCGCACCCGATCCGAGCGAGCTCGCCCGTCGCCGAGTATCGATGTGTTCGGTCTCAGTCACGCGGTCGTGCCTGCCTCCCGCACCCGATCCGGGCGAGCTCGCCCGTCACCGTGTCCCGATGTATTCGGTCTCAGTCACGCGGTCGGTCCGAGCGAGCTCGCCCGTCACCGTGTCCCGATGTGTTCGGTCTCAGTCACGCGGTCGTGCCTGCACTGGTGGCGCTGACTCGCCGATTGGCGCGCTGTGACGAGGCCGCGCGCGCGCCGCCCGCCAGGAGGAGCGGGTGGTGAGTCGACAGGAGGGGATGGCCTTCGCCCGTCGCCATCAAATGCTGCACATCGAGTCGAGCGCCAAGACGCGGGAGGGCGTGCAGCTGGCGTTCGAGGAGCTCGTCCAGAAGGTGAGGCGCCCCGCCGCCGGCTGGCCAGCCAGTCACCGCTCCGCGAGCGCTGACGCCACCCGACTGATGGCCAGCGATGTGATAGCACACTGCCATCGTGAACGCTGCATTCCATCCGGTTGTTGTCATCTGCGCTCTTTCGAAACCCTTAACTGGCGTTGTCTGCACTGTGTTTGATTAGTACGGCGTCGGTCAATCGGTGTGTTGACCGACGTCGCCTGTTCAGTGTTGTGCTCACTGAGGGTCGTTATCGGGCCGAGTCACATACAGCATTCTGCATCTGTGAAAAGGTACTGCGCTCGTATACCCGAGATCGCGTGCCACCGGATACAGTCGGTGCGAGATTTTGTGACCGTCCACGGTATTTCGGAGGGTTCTATGCTGCCGTCCATAGTGTGTCGGAAGGTTTTGTGTCACAGCCCGGCTCCGTGAAGAAATCCTGTGTTGCGCTCCGTTGGTTGTGAGGCCTGTCTTACCGTCCCTAGTCTGTAGGGAGGTCTCGTGTCTCCGTCCACAGTCTGTGTGGAGGCCTCGTGTCTCCGTCCCCAGTCTGTGCCAAGGTCCCGTGTCTCTGTTTCCAGTCTGTGGAGGTTCTGTGTTTCCGTCCCCAGTTTGTGGGGAGGTCTCGTGTCTCTGTCCCCAGTCTGTGCCAAGGTCCCGTGTCTCCGTCCCCAGTCTGTGTGGAGGTTTCGTGTCTCCGTCCCCAGGCTGTGTGGAGGTCCCGTGGTGTCTCCATCCCCAGTCCGTGCAAAGGTCCCGTGTCTCCGTTCCCAGTCTGTGTGGAGGTTCTGCGTCTCCGTCTCCAGTCTGTGTGGAGGTCCTGTGTCTCCGCCTCCAGTCTGTGTGGAAGTCCCGTGTCTCCGTCCCCAGTGTGCTAAAGGTGCCATGTCGGCCGTCTGTGGTGAAGTGCCGTGTCGGCCGTCTGTGGTGAGGTGCCGTGTCGGCCGTCTGCGGTAAGGTGCCGTGTCGGCCGTCTGTGGTGAGGTGCCATGTCGGCCGTCTGTGGTGAGGTGCCATGTCGGCCGTCTGTGGTGAGGTGCCATGTCGGCCGTCTGTGGTGAGGTGCCATGTCGGCCGTCTGCGGTGAGGTGCCATACGGCCGTCTGTGGTGAGGTGCTGTGTCGGCCATCTGTGGCGATGTACCGTGTCGGCCATCTGTGGTAAGGTGCCGTGTCGGCCGTCTGTGGTAAGGTGCCGGGTCGGCAATCTGTGGTGAGGTGCAGTGTCGGCCATCTGTGGCGATGTACCGTGTCGGCCGTCTGTGGTGATGTGCCACATGACAGTGCTCTGTCCACAGATCATCCAGACTCCCGGCTTGTGGGAGTCGGAGGAGACGCGCCGGGAGGGCCAGGTGCGCCTGGGAGACGCCGAACGCGACAACCGGGGCCTGTGCGGCGGCTACTGCTCACTGACCTGACCTGATATCACCTGACCTGATCCGACCGGACCGCACGGGGGCGCCGGCCGACCGGCAGCGCCACGCCCGTGCCTGTGGTTGTGAGGTAGACAGAAGTGGTCCTGTGGACGAGAGAGCGTGATCGGCCTGGTCAGTGACTGGGACAGAGGACGCGGCGTGACACTGTTCTGCGACGGCGCTCGAGCGCCCGCGTGACCGTGACAACCCTGGCGCCGCCCCGTGGAGACTGCTGGGTGCAGTGGAAACCAGAGGAGGCCTGACCGGGATACGCCCGCTGCCCTCGCCTGGGGACGCGTGCCGTGCTCTAGCAGAGGTAATGTAGCGTTTATTTTCTGCTCAGCATGACCAGCTGAGTGACGGACCACTCGTTATTCATATGGTACGCATGGCCTTATATTTTTGCGTGTGTGCGATAACCATGCGATCCCTAGGTATGCATCTATATTAGAACATTCGATTAAGGTCCTTGGGTTCTCACTGAAGCACGTGAGTTTGGCGTTCAAGTCTGTCCCGTTTATCACATAGGCATTTCCGCAACATAACGGTTGGGCTAGCCTCGCGTACTGGTTGCAAGGTCAGCCGACCTTAGCGTTCGCCGGTCCTGAACCGGGTCACCAAAGCGGGCTGTTCTTATCGAACCCGCCTTCCGCGCCTATCCGAAGCCCGAAAGGACACTCTCATTGCGGAGGTGCTCACTCAGCAGCACACGTCCACGGAGCGCGCGCCCAACGACGGAGGGAGGGGGCGCCCCGCTGCGGTGGTGGCGGTCTGTCGGCGCACCGACTGCCTACGGGCGGCTGCGGCAGCTGCAGCTGGCGGCAGCTGCCGACGGGCCTGCTGCTCCAGCCGATCTCAGCCGCTGGACGGCGGCGTAGGCGATCGATGACGTGTGTACGGCCGGTGCCGGCGGTGGCAACGGCGTCAGGACGCTGCGGCAGACATGAGCTTCTGAATGGCGGGATGTGTCTGATGCCACGCATGAATGAGGTCGGACGGTACCATTACTATCCGTCGTGTCTTGCGCGACGCGTGTGTGCGGATTTGCATTAGCTCGTGGTGTTCATGGAAAGGGAACGGACATGGAGTGGGAGGAGGCCGTGAGGGCGGATTGTAATACATTTCGGGCTGAGAGCTCCTGTTCACTGCTGGAGCCGCTCTTGGTGGCAGACCGTAGTCGCAACCAGCCGCCTTTGTCATCGACTGTCCACTATGCGGCGATGTCGGTAAACATGCACCATCGGATCTCCGTATGACGATTGGGCTACTTATTGGTGGTGGAACGCAAGCTCTGCACCCACTGCCACCGCCGCACCCCTGGCCAATCGTCCGCTAGCCAGAGTCGGCGGACCTTATCAGTGGGCGTCCTGCGCCAGTGAATCAGGAGGCGTGTCGTTGCATGCTGGCCGCAGCGTACCCCGTAAATGGACGGGAGTTTTCCGATCCGCTGGCTGTCCGTACACTTGGAACACGATAAGTACTGATCGCGGTAAGCCGGCAACGTGAGGTTTTGGTCGTCGAAAACAACGAACGAGGTGTTTGACTGAGAAGACTGATAGGCCGAAAAGGCTGTTGTTAGAACGAGCGCTCGGGGCGCTACAGCTGAAAGGCGTTGCTATTTACACCCTGCTAGCGATGGCGCTGCCCGTGATTCAAAATAAGTTCGCTTGTTTCGGATCAGCACGTTCTCAACCCCTACTGTAACAGCCGTATTCAGGTGACAGCGTGGACAAGCTCCGCTGGGAACTTGACTAGACGGCTCGTCCGTCGCGAGTCAGCTCAATCTCCCGTGTTCTGCTATCTGCCGGCCGATCACATTACCATGCGCCCTCAGCCGTCTCGCATTAGGGCTCTCTCTAACAAGGCCACCCCGCCCCGGCCGTGGCGGTCGCCGCCTGCTCCTACTCAGCTCGCCAGGAAAACACGCCGGCACGAAGCACAGCTCTGTTATTTGTCTATGGCGATGCGATGGCGACACGCAAAATATCCCGACACTGACAACACCGACCTTTGCAAAAATAATGCACCCTTTTCGCACAAAAGTGCCACGACAACTCACAAGTGCTAAATAGGCAAGGCAGATCACAGAGCAACGAACTCGAAGCATGTGCAGAGCCCAACGGAGAGCAAAGAAAACGAGGGCAGACCAAACACGGCAGTGCGCCCAGCTAGTCATTCTCACAGAATCGCGATCGTTACGCACAGTAGCGGAACACCCACAGATCGACAAGCCCACGATACGCACGGGCGATGCCCGGTTTGACAACCACCTGACGGCCGGCCGTCACCAGCACACTGGTAAGTATCCGCCCAACCGCCCCTCACCGACCATCCTCGACCACGAGCGTGTGTCCGCCCCACCGGGCCGAACGGCAAGGCCAGTCCGACGGCTTCGTGCCCGGGCCGAACGGCAAGGCCAGTCCGACGGCTTCGTGCCACCCTGATCGCCCCGCCGGCGGCCACGCGGCGCGCCTTCCGGCGCAGGCAGCGTCCCGCCCGGCCGGCAGCGCGCCGTCCGAGAACACGGTGCATCCGGCCCTCTCCTGACAGCAACGGCGCCACCCCGCGCTGCCGTCCTCACTCACCACGCGCACACACGTCACGGCAGCGTGACGTCACGCCGACGTGACTAGGCGTCGGCGGAGCGCGGGCTGACCGAGACCCAGACGTCCTCGCGCGGCGTGGTGACGAGCGTCATCAGCTGCTCCTGGCTCTGGTCGGGCAGCAATTCCAGCTGAGAGGGGGTCAGCAGCACGTGCAGCACCTCTGTCACCAGCTCCTGGTACAGGCTGTCGGCGAGACGGACGTCAGACGCCAGCCACACGGCTCACAGACGCCAGTCGCACGTCTCACGGACGCCAGCAGCACGTCTCACGGACGCCAGCCGCACATCTCACAGACGCCAGCCGCACGGCTCACAAACGCCAGCCACACGGCTCACAGACGCCAGCCGCACGGCTCACAGACGCCAGCCTCAGAGCTCACAGACGCCAGCCACACGGCTCACAGACGCCAGCCACACGGCTCACAGACGCCAGCCACACGGCTCACAGACGCCAGCCTCAGAGCTCACAGACGCCAGCCTCACGGCTCACAGACGCCAGCCGCACATCTCACAGACGCCAGCCGCACGGCTCACAGACGCCAGCCGCACATCTCACAGACGCCAGCCGCACGGCTCACAGACGCCAGCCGCACATCTCACAGACGCCAGCCGCACGGCTCACAGACGCCAGCCGCACATCTCACAGACGCCAGCCTCACGGCTCACAGACGCCAGCCGCACATCTCACAGACGCCAGCCGCACGGCTCACAGACGCCAGCCGCACATCTCACAGACGCCAGCCGCACGGCTCACAGACGCCAGCCGCACATCTCACAGACGCCAGCCGCACGGCTCACAAACGCCAGCCACACGGCTCACAGACGCCAGCCGCACGGCTCACAGACGCCAGCCTCAGGGCTCACAGACGCCAGCCACACGGCTCACAGACGCCAGCCGCACGGCTCACAGACGCCAGCCACACGGCTCACAGACGCCAGCCTCACGGCTCACAGACGCCAGCCGCACGGCTCACAGACGCCAGCCGTACGTCTCACAGACGCCAGCCTCAGAGCTCACAGATGCCAGCCACACGGCTCACAGACGCCAGCCTCAGAGCTCACAGACGCCAGCCACACGGCTCACAGACGCCAGCCGTACGTCTCACAGACGCCAGCCGCACGGCTCACAGATGCCAGCCACACGGCTCACAGACGCCAGCCGCGCGGCTCACAGACGCCAGCCGTACGTCTCACAGACGCCAGCCGCGCGGCTCACAGGCGCCAGCCGCACGTCTCACAGACGCCAGCCTCACGGCTCACAGACGCCAGCCGAGCGGCTCACAGACGCCAGCCTCACGTCTCACAGACGCCAGCCGCACGTCTCACAGACGCCAGCCTCACGGCTCACAGACGCCAGCCGCACGGCTCACAGACGCCAGCCGCGCGGCTCACAGACGCCAGCCACACGGCTCACAGACGCCAGCCCCAGAGCTCACAGATGCCAGCCACACGGCTCACAGACGCCAGCCTCAGAGCTCACAGACGGCAGTGCCGCCGCATGCGCTCCCAGACAGTGCAGTGCGGTGAAAAACACCCAGATCTACTCTGGGCTCACGAGTGCTCATGAACCGAGCAGTAACTTAACACTGCACTCGGTGTTTGAAAAGTTACGACGTGGCGTATTTCTCATTTTACGGAAGAGTGCACGACCTCAGTTTGTCGGACAGCCCGCATTCTTCCGGTCGGGAGGGATAAGGGATGAGGTGGGCGACGGGCCATACCCGACCCATGACTCCGTCAATGACGAGTCCGCGGCGTATCGCAAGGGGTGACTGACCGCGGGCGAGGTACAGACCCAGGTTATCACGCGCGATACCCTGCGCGGCGACCTGTATCCTGATCAGGCCGTTTGATATCTCGGCACGCGTAAGTCACGCGGTCCAAGCGTCCTGAGGTCGAATTATCACCGGTGGCCCACTGATTCCGGGCTCACTGATCTCCTCACTTTACATTACCAGCGACAGCTTGTGCGTTGTGGGAAAGGTGAGGGGGCGACCGGGCACCATGTAACCGGCGTAGACAGCGCAGCCTACAGCCCAAAGCATCAGCGAGCAAACAGCAGGTGTAAGTTATCGTGTGCCATCGCGTACATGCCAAAAATAATACAATGCAACCAAGTACTAGATGACAAGGCAATCGACACCAACGACCAAAATGTATTTTTTATGTGCATTACACCTAATTCTAAGCTTTTCACAAGGCAGCTCACATTAACTTGAAATATAAATCCATTCATCCACAGGAAAATAATTATGACCTACGGAATAAATAAAAAAGAGAAATTCAAGTGGTCGAAATCTGGGAAGAAATGAAGTTTTGTAGGCAGGATAGGTCAACCTTTTCAGCTGAGTACCCCTGACCAATTTTGGAAAATGACATCCCTGACTGCCAACAATGACATCCCTGTCAACAATGACATCCCTGACTGCCAACATTGCGCTGGAGACCGCGCTGCTCCTGAAATCTCAGCGAAACATGCTGATATAGCCTTTCATGTAACATGATGTAGCATTCGCTGGCTGGTTCAAAAATAGCAACGCCTGAAAAGTGGTTGTCGATTACTGGTGCATCCTTGATTCTGGTGCACTTTCGTCTCCGCCAGTTTTGAAATGTTGTATAATGCAGCCGGTGCATTCGCCAAAGCCCGGAGGTTCGTCCCAGGTCTTCATCTGCTCCAGTTGCCGGGCTCTGGCATCAAGCCTTACGAACATCACAAAAAAGGCAGACGCATCGCTTGCACACGGTAGCGGGGGACCGTCAGCACACATCAACCCAAACTCTTGCCAGCGTGATTGCAAATTCGCTAGCCTCGTGTTGCTGCGATGTCTGTTCATCCGGATCTGGACCCGGTTTCAACCAGTGCCCTTCAGCTTCCTCGCAAGCTGAAAACTTTACCTGCTACGTTTTCATTAGGTGGGGGCGGTGAAACTGTGTCGATAACGCAACGCAACACGGCAAAAAAGCCAGCTGATCGCACTACATGCAACCACAGAACAATTCAAACCGCACAATTCTTCGAGAACTGTCCTGTTTTAATCAGGGGGCCATCATCGCAGCTTGAGAAATTGGTCGGGCTGGCGCCTGGTTAACGTTCGGCGGTGACGTCACAAAGTCGCAATGGCTCGCTCTGCGGCGTTGCATGGCAACGTCGACTGCGCCGCGTGGAAAGCAGTCGTCGCGCAGAAATGCTGTGGTTGGTCTTGTCTGTTATCGTGAAGGCCGCGTAGTACCAATGTAATGTCTTGAATGTAATAACGTGATTATCGTGCAGTGTGGCATCAAGTTTGTATTGTGTTGCCTCAGTGCGAGCTATTATGTCGCGGATGGGAGAATTTTGAAGTGGTGTGTGAGCGTGGGGCAAAAGTGATCATCAAAGGCAGTTTTTTGGCAGCAGGATGCTATTATGTGAAGTGGCTTCTTGCAAGAATGTGAAACGGCACAATACAAACCTTTTTTACTTTTCTATAAAAAAAACGATACAACTGTCCCGAAAACATGAGCGAACCGTTCCTCTTGGACTAACATTATAAATGCGGAGAATGCGATAATCTGGTCTGATCATTTTCAAGATTATGACTATGATCCTGGCCATCTGGTTAAGGCCCGTCTCATACCCAGTGTTAAGCCGTGCCTTCGACCAAGTGCAGTTCCTTCCATGCGACTGGACATCGCCGGCACGCCAAAGTGAGCATGCGTGTGCTTAAAAGGAAAATTTCCGCCTGTTTCATGCAGAAATATTTGAACCCGATTCACAGTCACTACTGCCTGCATAAACCGTGCCGCTCTGTGCAGTTCGTAGACTACAATACGAGATTAAAGCGAAATTGTCCGATCATAATCTTGTTTACGAAGTGGGGCCTGACTACCACACAAGTGGCACAGCCATTCATGCTACGCGGGCGGAGGGGGGGGGGGGGGGTGGGGTCAGGGACGTAGCCAGGGTTTGCGACGGGTGGAGGGGTATGTTTGCACGAGCGAGTCCAAGCCCCATTGACAGTACATCTACGCACTGTGAGCTGACCAACAAACCCCACAATCGTTGGTATGTTCAGTACCTAGCACATCAATAAGATTCTAATGTTGGTTTGCCCTGGTGCCCTGTGCAGTTCTTTCACCTACGTACCGTACATGTTCACTCGGCTTCTTGCGAGTCTTGTTACTTTTGAGCCACTTTTGGGCTCTTCGTGTTACTGTTCATGGTGGTGTCTGAGATTTCAAATAAAGGCTATTTGCCTGGTCACCAAACTCCGGGATTACATACAGTAATATCGTGGTAAAAAACTGCTGCCCGCTAGGATTATGTCACCCTGGATCACAAAAAGGTGGTTGTGTATAAAAACAAGCATGCCATAACAAAAGAATGGGCATGTCCGGGTCCAAGACGTTTTGCTCTCGTAATGAAAACCAAAGCTGGTGATATGTAAAAGGGTCTGATTAATGCGCCTGATAGGTACGCGGAAATGGCTGTATCGTTGTGTCGTAGATCCAAGACCCAGCTGTGGTGGAAGCGGCAGCGCATACGGACGACGTGGAGGCCGCCTACCAGCAAGCAGCCGCGATGCCTCCAATGCCCATCCTGAACAAAGTGGACGAGAACGGCGGGTTCGACGAATCGGGCAAAGGCAAGCTCCATGGCGGTGACGGCGAGAGGACCGAAAATGGCCCCCACTGCGGCGACGAAATGGACGAAGACACGAACGTCGAGCACGGGGCGCTGGCCTTCGTTGCCGGCTTCGTGGCGGTGAAGTGCAAACACCTCGATCCAAGTATGGGACTGTCGACCCGAGAGGCACCACCCAACTGTGTCCCAGACAGCTGGATACACACGATTAGACAGGGTGGTCTGATGGTGCCGTTGCCGGCCTGGACAAGCGTTGTCGAGGCTTTCGAGATCGTGTTCCAACAAGTGATGGACCGAGGCATGGACCGAGACATTGGCGTCGTGGACCGCGACACACAAAGCTCCTACTAAGAAAGCTCTGCGCTGGACAAGCGGATTGCTCGGAAGCTAATGAAGACGCGCATCCATCTGCACCTCAGATGCCTTAATCAGGCTGGGGCTGAGCGAGCTACTGCCAGGCGCGCAGCTAAACAGGTGCGACGTCAGGTGGACAGCGCGAAGTGAACATCGTTGTGCTTATGTGAGCTCCGCCCCACCCGCCCTGTTTTTTTTTGGGTCCTCGCCAAGTGTGTACAATGAAGTGCATGCTGGGCGCAAGAATTCTCTCCCCCCCCCCCGTTTCTTTGGGTCCTCGCCAAGTGTGCACAATGAAGTGCATGCTGGGCGCAATAATTTTTCCCTCCCTCTCCCCCCCCCCCGTTTTTTTGGATCCTCGCCAAATGTGCACAATGAAGTGTACGGTGGCGCAAGAATCGTTTAAGTGAAGTATGGCAAATTATGAGTCATACGTGTGTTCGATAACTTGGCCGCATGGCGTGACGGATATGATCTTGATTAACGTCATGCACCGCGACCTTCGGAGGCTTCGTGGCATAGCTGACGCGACGTGCAATGTCCACAATGTCCTATGTTCTACCGGGCAGCGTACCACTTCCGTCGTCTCAAAATGCCTCAATCGCACACCAGTGCAACCCAGCGCGTCATTATGTATAGTGCTGAGGCTCAACGCGACAGGTCGGATGATAATCCTGGTGCCACTCAGTTCTTCCTTTGGCAATGACTGGACCTTGGCCAGGTTCGCTAACCCGCATTTAAGCAGCTGTAGGCTGACCAGCTTCAATGCATCGCCATGGACTCAATGTTTGGCATCCTCAGCAAATGGGAGTGCCATGGCACATGGGTTCCTGGTTTCTAGGCCCATGTTCGCTGTTTAACGACAGGCGTGACAAAAATCCCCTTTCATATGTCCTCATATTACTTCTTGAAGTGCCCTGTGGCGATCACCAGACGCATTTGTTAGAAGGTGCACCGGTGTAGCAGACGCGAAGGTAATGCAGCCGGCGCTGTGATGCCAGGTTGCGACTTTGTGACGTCGCTGTAATGGTGAACGAAAGGTGCCGGAAAAATTCCCGGATGACCATACCTTATTACATGGCCTTGGTTTTAATCTAAAAACCACGTCACGCTCGTGGCGCTCTAATCACTACACGCGTGAGTTTTAACTTCTACAAAGCGTGACGTCCATGTCGGGGCTCTCACGCTGAGAACGTCCTCTCACACTGTGGGGGAGACTCGCTCGGCCTGTGAGCTCGCCAATGACTCGGATCAAGCGGCCTGGGGTCAAACTCCGATAAAACCGTTAAACTCCCCAACTGTCGGCACTCAGCCCTGCAGGGCGGCGCACACTCCAGCACACCGGGACGCACGCGTGCGGGCGCAGGGGCCGGGTCACGGTGGCGGCGGGCGGCGGCGCTCACCTGGAGGCGCCCTCGATGTCGTCGTGTTTGGAGAGGAATGGCAGCGGGTTCAGCTCCAGCGGCGGCGTGTCGCCCTCGAATCGGGCCGGGTCAAACCTGAGGTCACCAGTTCATCACATATGGGCGTGACCAATCGCATTCTTCCAGGGCACCGTCATTCACAAATCAGACCACAGCTAACACACGCCGTGTTTGAATAATCATTCGGAGCTGGCGGCTTCTCATGACATGGTCCACAGTCAGTTTTTGGCCACCGTTCCAACTACACACCTTGTGGGAAACACCACAGCAAATGCCAAACCCCCACTGCCGGTGTCAGTGTGACAGGGCGGACAGCTGCCGGGTCCGTACAGACGACACATGCCTGCCCGCGCGTGTGCCGGCGGCGGGCGGCACCAACCTGTCGGCACGCGCCCAGCCGGCGGCCGTGTTCGCCACACAGAGGGCGCTGACGATCGGCGTGCGCGCCGGCAGCGTGTGGCCCTGGACGGCCGACGGCGAGCTGTAGCAACGCGCCGTCAGCGGCACCACCGAGCTCAAGCGCCAGGCCTCGCGGATGACGCGGCCCACCAGCCTGCCGACGACGTGACAATGGGTCACCACAAGCCCACAGGGTCACCACAGGTCCACTCGGTCACCACAGGTCCACTGAGTCATAACAGGCCCACAGCAGGCCCATCGGGTCACCACAGGCCCACAGGGTCACCACAGGTCTACTCGGTCACCACACGTCCACTGGGTCACAACAGGCCCACAGCAGGCCCATCAGGTCACCACAGGCCGAGCAGATCATCACAGCCCCACCGTGTCACAACAGGCCGACCAGGTCACCACAGCCCCACCAAATCACGACAGGTCCACTGGGTCACCAAAGCTACACGGGATCACCACAGTCCTGTCAGGTCACCACATGGCCAAGGTCCGCCAGCTTACGGGAGGGTCGGTCATGAAGTCCTGCAGCCTGCCGACGGGTCACCACCAGGTCACAAGAACCACCCGATCATCACAAGGGCCGCTACCCCGGGAGTCACCACACGGTCCTGCAGGTCACCGCATGGTTTGCCAAGCCACCGTCCACCCGCAAGGTCACCACACTGCTCAAAATGTCGTCAAAAGACATATAATGCTGAAAAGATCATCACTGCAGGCTGTTCCAGTTGCCAATCTGAGAACAGGTCGCCAGGCCATCCCACAATACGCCTCACACGAGTTACATCTTCCGAAGATCTAACGACTGAAACACCCGAATGGGGTCCTGGCTTCCCCCACAGGCCACTGGTGGCGGCCTCGCGTATGACAGACGTCAGGCTATCACAAGCTACCGCAAGCTGCCATGGGGAGCGTGTTTTCCGTTCCCTGGCAGGCGTCAGCCCAGCAGGGCAGCACGCTACAGCTCAGGTCCCAGCCAAAGACCCCTGTTCAGGGTCCCAGCTCAGGACCTCAGCTCAGGGTCCCAGCTCAGGATCACAGTTCAAGGTCACAGCTCAGAGCCCCAGCTCAGGGTTCCAGTCTAGGGTCGTAGCTCAGGGCCCCCAGCTCAGGACCACGGCTCAGGACTCGAGCTGATTGCCCCAGCCGAGCAGCCCAGTTAAGGACGGCAGCTGAGGCCCGCAGCTGGAGACGCGGCAGTGCGGAGAGGCGTCGTCACTGACCCGGTGTCCGTCTGCTCTCCGGCCAACTGTGCCACCACGGCGTCCTGCACGGTCTGGTGCTGCGATAGGTAGTACAGCGTCCAGCACAGCCCTGCCAACATACACACACGGCGCGGCCCGGCGTTAAGCCCATCAGGGACCCATGCTGCACGCTCCCGGAAGACACACCCGCTTGGAAACTTACACTTTTGTCACCAGACGCCGCACTGGCGAAGCAAGGTCCCCATGCGCGACGGGATTTACACAAAAATAGACGAGCATTGAAGAAGATGCACGTCTCCACATAGTGGCTTACACTGCTATAAGCCACCGGGGAAGGTCACGCCTTGCCCAAGGCAGGCACAGCTGGAGTCCACAGAGGGAGCCTTACTGAGTCAGAGGAAACGTGACGAGCAAAGCACGGACCACACAAGGGATGTAGCGGACACCGGCTCAGATCGCATCCCCCTTCTGCACATCCGCTTCACATGGCGAAGATGATCAGCTATTAGAATGAGCAGTTGCTCCCGCCTATTTTGGCCAGGCTGCAATACATCATGCTGTGATGTTTACACAACTGCTCACCGCTCGACAGTGTTTCGCAGAAGAACATGAAGAGGGCCAGCAGGTCACTGACGTGCGCCTCCGAGTCGCCGCCGGCCCGACTGCCCTGAGCCGAGAGGGCCACCCACTCCACCAGCGACACCTGGCGACAGCGGGTGACGAGCTGAACACCGCAGTGCTGGCCCTCCATGGTCCGCGCACACGGGCGCCCTGCCAACGGTGTACCCCTTCGTTGACAGTCAGCACGGATGTCACATTAAGCCAGACCCTCGCAGGCGATGCCGTAATCACCCAGTCGCCAGATCTCAGCCAGTTCAGAGCGGTCCGCACGGAGCAGCGAGACTGCCAAGCCAGCCGCCAGACTTCGGCGTGGACCGCACCGGAGCCGCCGTCGTCGGCCAGTCCGTGTCGGCTGGGGCCGCGCGCTCCGGTCCGACACCGCCAGGCGGCCGGCGTCGGTAGCGCACCCACCGTGGACTTGTTCTCGCGGCGGTGCTTGCGGACGATGGCGGCGGCCACGTCACGGAGAGCGGCGGCCGCCTCCAGCAGGTGGTCCTGCTGGCTCTCATACAGCTGGCGACCGCACGCCTCGCTCGTCACCTCGGCCGTCACCTGCCGCACCAGGCGGGAGTCAAGACCACGGCTAGCTGACGTCACAATAACGTCACAGCGGGCATGGCAGAACGGTGACGTCATCTGCAGGTAGACGGCGTCGCAGCGACGGCAAACCGGCGAACAATGACGTCACAGCGGAATACGACAGAGCGCTGACGTCATCTGCAGACAGATGGGCGTCGCAACGACGCCAAGCTGACGTCACAAGTCGGCACACGGCAGCCAGACACATCGGCGTCATCTACCGACACACAGGGCCAACTGCCTGTCACAGAAACGTCGCCCACCGACACCAGATCAGGCGTAGCAGCAACGTCAGCTGCACACCTACACACACACATGGGATCTGACGTAGCGCCGACTCCACCTGGTCGGTACCACAGCAGGCTTACAGACCGGCACAGCCAGGCGCAACAGACCAACACAAACCAAGCCGGGCCATCGAGCGGCATCCCACCGGGCGCGAGTGTGCCGGGGCGGTGCAGCGCTGTGTGGCGTGCCTCCTCCGGCCTGCAGGCTGCCGGCGCCGGCACCAGTGGCCGCCGCCCACCTCCACTCACGATCTCGTACTCCTGCGCGTCCGGCCTGCAGCCCGTCGGCGCCGGCACCAGTGGCCGCCGCCCACCTCCACTCACGATCTCGTACTCCTGCGCGTCCGGCCTGCAGCCCGTCGGCGCCGGCACCAGAGGCCGCCGCCCACCTCCACTCACGATCTCGTACTCCTGCGCGTCCGGCCTGCCAGCCCGTCGGCGCCGGCACCAGTGGCCGCCGCCCACCTCCACTCACGATCTCGTTACTCCTGCGCGTCCGGCCTGCAGCCCGCGGCGCCGGCACCAGTGGCCGCGCCACCTCCACTCACGATCTCGTACTCCTGCGCGAAGCTGAGCATGCTGTGCTCGTCGTCCATGTGGTGTCCGAAGCAGCAGCGGGCCACGATGTGCAGCGCCAGCGCCGAGGTGTACTGCTGCAGCGACACGTGCTCCTCCGACGAGAGCGACTGCAGCTTCTCGGAGACGCGGCCGGCCGCCTGACGGCCAGCAGTCGCAGCTGATCAAGGTCAGCGGGGCGCCGGGCGCGGGCGTCCAGACGCTGGGCGGACAGCACACAAACCAGCCGCGTCGTGTCACGCAGTGGAAGGCTGGGCTCACGCTCTGGCAAGCAGATGCCGGGCTAGGACGAACTTGTATGACCAAGTCGGTGATTGTTTACCATACAGTTTGCTATGTGCCACGACAGCACAGCGCCAAACAGGCGTACTTAACACACCCAGACTGCACCAGCGCACGACCACGCCAACAACTAAACCAGCCAACTGCACAGACACACCCCAAACGGCACCTACAACAACACCAACAACTGCACCCAGCTCACGACACACGCCAAACAGGCACTAAACACACCAACAACTGCACCCAGCGCACGACACACGCCAAGGCACACTAAACAACAACACAACTGCACCACTCACGACAAACCCAAGAGGCACACTAAACAACACCAACATGCACCAGCTCACGACACACGCCAAGCAGGCACACTAAACAAAACCACAACTGCACCCAGCTCACGACACACACGCCACAGCACATAAACAACAACAACAACTGCACCACCACGCATCACACGCCAAGCACAGCAACAGCACACTAAACAACAAAAACTGCACCCAGCTCAACACACACCAAGCAGGCACACTAAACAACACCAACAACTGCACCCAGCTCACGACACCACGCCAAGCAGGCAGGCACATTGTACGCCACGCGCACATGCCCAGCTCACGACCACGCCCCTTTCCCACCGAGCGACAGTGAATTGGCAGGCCATGCACAGACACAGGCCCCGCCTAGACGCCACACGGACGGCAAGAGGCGAGGACGCGTCAGCATCGTTGTCTGCTGTAGTCCAGCCCCAGCGGCCGGCGACACAGGCCTCCAGCCCGGCCGGCGCCGCCTCCAGCCCCCAGCGCGGCTGGCGACTGGCGGCGCTCACCTCTCGCGCCGCCTGCCGGTACACGGCGCGGCACTCTTCTGAGAAACCCTGCTGGTAGAGCCGCCAGCGGCGCGTCGTCTCGGCTCGGTCCGCCCACACGATACTCTCGCGCCCTAGCAGCGGCCGCAGAAACTCGAGGTACAGCTCGGGCCGCTCGGCGGCGCCACTATGCTGCTCCATCAGCTCGTACGTGCCGAGGCTGATCACCAGCTGCTTGCCCAGGTGGAAGGAGACGAGGGGGCCGTACTGAGCGTGCACCTCGCGCAAGTACTCGCCCAGCCCACCAGCCATCTCCACGTCCGTCAGGTTACCATCACTGCAACACGGTCGACCAGCTCATCTCAGTCACCGTTGGAGGATCGCAGAGGGGGGGGGGGGGGGTCAGGTCAGGGGGCTGGGGCACTGCCAAACAGTGTCCATTGAAATGTGATGGCATGCCCCAACCACCAAAGAGAATGCAGCAGGACCAAGGCATCAAGAACAGTGAACTCCCAGAATTGGCAAGATTGTTTAGTCCCTCCCACTCAGTGCAAGCCTCTTCAGTCTGGTGTGCAGTTATATAGGCTTAACCCCACCCCCAGATGACAACATGCCCCTCCAGCATCTGACCCTGCTACCCTGTTACGACCCTGCACCCCTGGCATGATACAGTCACCCAGCTATAACAATGGCCCTCTAACGCGGCTCCGTCCTCCCCCTCTCCCATCAACAAATGCACATGTCGGCCGTGCAAACATCATTCCGTCTGCCCCATCCCTCAGCATCACCCTATGCAGTTGGGTGGCCCTGCCCATGATCATGACTGTGACCCATGAGTGACCCTGTCCTGCTGTTTGTCCCTGCCCTGAGTGACCACATGCAGCTGACCTCACCCTGTCTCCCAGTCCTGCACCCACCTGACCTGGCTGACTGAGCAGCAGGTGGTACTGACCTGGAGCTGGAAGGTGGCGGCCCTGGCACAGTTGTGTCCCGGGTGGCGCTCTGCGGAGCACATTGCACGGCCGTCACCATGCTGCCACAAATCACATGGACACACAGCACCTGGATCCCACAACCAGCCACTCACAATGAAGAAGGACAGAGGCAGGTCAATGATCTGCATCACAAAATAGCAGGGCTTGCTAAAAGGCAACTACTCAGTGACTTTTTTGCTCATTCCTTGTGCAACCAAGCTGTTAACAGAGATCATAAGAATCACAAAACCTACAAAGTGAGTAATGATAACCAGGCAGTGAGATCCCTGAGCAGAAAGATGATGCAACTCTCATTATGATAATGACAATAACTGACCAGTTTGTGCAGACATGCATATCCAAAACTCATCAACAACCTCCAACTCTCACATGAATGCCATGAATTTCAGAACCCCATCCTGCCTTATCTGTTTATACTTACTGGGTATATGTAGAGAATTACAAACAACAGAAAGGTGATAAAAACAACTGCAAATATCACCAGGGCAATCAGCATCTTAGATGTCAGGTAACTGAAAAGAAAAGATGAGTAACACCATTTGCTTTGTAATTGCAAGCTAAAGCCAACTACATTGGATATCACATCATGGTAATGCCAATGCCGCATAATTCCTTGCACACACACACACACACACACACACACACACACACACACACACACAGACCACCAACATATGCCATCAACATCGAGGAATGCAATAGTAATATGCACAACAGACATAACACATGGAGTGTAGCCTGGAGGACAGAACCTTTCAGTCACTCGATCTTACCATTACTGAGGTCTGTGCTAAGGACATATCAGCCTGTTTTCCAAACTGCCAACACATCATTTTAAGTATGTTTAAAAGCAACTCACTGTTACTTACACTTACTAACTGTTGCTGCATTACAAAGTTTCCTATCTCTCTAGTTATGCAATACTTGACTTTTTTGCTGACAAATTTTCCTGCCCTGCATCAAACACAAATACATATAACAAAAAAGAAATGCAAAAACCTGACACATCCTGCAAATCAATGAAAAGTTAAGAGGAAGCATAGCATGATGTACCATGTACCTCAATCACAACTCTGCACAAACTTGATTTAAGTTTTGTACAGAGGTCTTCACCCAATGTTACTCATCTCCTCAAAACAAACTTGTGTCCTAGTAGTAAGCTGGTCATGGTTGTTATATATTTCAAACATTTCAAGAGTGTAGCTTGTCTGATTAATACAAATCAGAACCACAGCCTTAAATCTTTCATCAAATTTCTTAATTTATGATGTTGTTCTTGAAAGGTTGTTGGGCACAGCTTGATATACATCTGATTGCAATGCACTCTGTCTCCACAAAAAAATGTCTGTCTTTTGTAGCACCGATGTTTAAAGATCGGCCACAAACACTGTTTGCTGTTTGGCTGAAAAACCTTTCATTTGTATGACTAATGCAAATATCTTTATATTTGTATGATATGGATGATGCATGAAATGCATGGTCAGCTAACCTTTGTAATATTTAGATGTTAATATACAAGCACACAAACAATCGTGAAAAAGAGGTGCAGAATGTTGGTTGTAACACATTTACAAACATGCTTTGCCTCAAGGCACAATAACAATGGTGGGTTACATTTTTGAACAATTTGGTATCATTCCATAGATTTGAGCAAAATCTGAACTATGGAACTCAATATTTTAAAAATCAGGATATCTAAAAAACCTGGCAAACCAAAATTGGTATTTTACATACATTACTATGCACAAGTATAATTCAAATTATTGCTTACATCAGCTTCAGTCAGAGTACAATTACCTAACATTGGTGTACAAAGATGTCAAAAGTAGATTCAAGCTTACTTTACAAACTTTGCTGCCTGGAAAAATGATTGCAGGATGATGATGATGCTATTCACAATGTTAGATACCATAATAGGAATTTGCAAGTGAACAATTAAGTATGTTATGATCAATTTCAGTAACATCATAGCTATGATCAGCTATGTTAGCATCAACCAATTCATGGACCAGATTGGGCATGGAAAAGACCAATGATGCCAGGCAACACAAAATGTTTCATCTTCCTCACCCATATAACAGCAGTATGAAATCCCCTGGAACATGATCCACTCAACATGTACCAAATGTCCTGCACTGTTAAGTTGGCTGCTGATAAAAGAAGAAAATGGGAACACTGCCACTTCTACCTTTCAGTTATGATCCCATGGTGTCTCTGTGACATAGTGCAATTTTAGGCATTCTGACTGCATATTCAGAATGTCCATGTTTATATTTTTATCACATACTTAACACTGGCAGATATCAACATGCCATGCTTCCCCACTGGGTGGCCCATATGGCAGAATGTTGCTGAAACCAGCATATGAACTACAGACATGATTCTGGCCCAGGGCCTCAGTCATTGCACGTTTTAATACTGGGCCTAAGTTAATGCAAGCAAAGAAAGCCAGAATAGCCTCAGTACACTCAGCCAACTGTTGGAATTCCATGATCATTCACCTAAACTTGTCACTCCAGACACTGTCCATATATCTCCTCATACCACAACAATGCACAAGTGTTGTTGTGCAGGACATGCACAGCATACCACACACATCAGAAGATAACACATTTCACACTTGAGGCTGAAAATGCATTGGGTGGGTGCAACTGGTTAGGCATTACTTCACCAGGTATATGATTGAACAATCATCAACTGCAATACACATGAAGCCTCAAAAGAACAAGAAGGAGCATCCGAACAGCGTAGACTCTTGCCACGATCTTAAAGCACCAAATAAATCGCAAAATCCGCTCGCGACAACCCTTACCACGATCTTAAAGGACCAAATAAACCGCACAATCCGCTGGCGACATAACGCGTCGTGACGAGCGTGACAATGGCCGTCTCTGTGTCATGTCAGGCCCTGAATATCAAAATAGCGCGATAATTCTACAGTATTTAGGTCTCATATGGCAGCCCGCAGGTAGCTATTTTCGTGGCGCGTCAGGAGACCTACGTCCAGGGAATCTATGCTCTCCAGGCCTACACTTAGGAGACCTACGCTCACTGAATCTACGCCCAGGAGACCTAGGCCCACGAGGCCTACTCTCACGAGACCTGCGCCCAGGAGGCCTACGTTCACTGGACCTACACCTAGGAGACCTACACTCACGGGACCTACGCTCAGGAGACCTATGCTCACGAGACCTATGCCCAGGAAACCTACACTCACTGGACCTACGCGCATGAGGCCTACGATGATGTCATTCCCAAATTATCGGGTTACTGTTGGCTGGTCGGCTGCCACCTGTCGTGGGGAGGGTAAACGAATACTGACTATGAAAGGCGCGAACTAGCGGTGCCTGCTGCTCCATGGTTCTGTGTCGCATCTCACCACCGTTACGAAGAGAGTGTGCGTGTGTGTGTGTGTGTGTGTGTGTGTGTGTGTGTGCGTGTGTGTGAAGATAGAGAGAAAGACAGAGAGAGGGGGGAAGGGAAGAGAGGGAGAGAGGCCGCATTTATAGAATTTGTATGAAAGCGGTATAACAATGGACATTGGTGATTAGTCCAAGCAGGGCTAAGAATCCGCATAATTACAATGTATGTGCGATTTTTCCAAAACCGTCCACTGACAGGTATGGCCGGGAGGCGCTGCGATGAAGTGCTCATCCCAAAGTTGTACAACGTTTTTATAACGTGCCCACGAATTTTGAACTTAGGTTGGTATTTTGGAACCTTTGAAAGACGCCTGTCTTGTGACATGAAATGAAGTTCTGCCGTTGGCGAGTATGGCTCATCGTGCTGAGCATGGGCGTGGGAACAGGGGGTGGGAGCAGGGGGGCCATTGCCCCCACTTTTCAAGGTGGGGGGCAGCAATGTTAACTGCCCCCCCCCCCACTTTTCAGATTAAGGTTGTAATTGGCTCACTTTTGCGCTACATTAAACATGCATGCCGATTAACCTAGTTCACCAGCCATCTCCCTTAAGATTAACCTAGTTCACCAGCCATCTCCCTTAAGATGCGTCGTCTTTTTCGTCTGCTCATTGGCCAGCGCTCAGTGTTACAGCCGCAAGGCCGGCACCGCACGGCCTGGAAACTGCAATGCTGGGCGTCGAGGCTGCTATTGCTATGACTTGCGAGCACGCATGTTCAACACCATATTACGCAGTTTCTTAGCAATAATCAGCTATGACAGGATCTTGCGCATTTTAAGACGAACATGGGTTAGTCATGTCAATACAAATTAGGTACCCTATTTCATCTACAATCTAGTCAGGGAGAACTGAATATCCCTGACGAACACAGAAAAAACACAGAACTCGAGTCTATGTGACAACTATCGAACTACCTGCGGTGATCAGGGGTGCTGTTGCGTCAATGAAGGTTCCTGTTCTGATCCAGGGCTAACTGCACGAGTCAGAAGGCCTCTGTGTCAGGGATGGGAACAATGTGACATGATATATCCCTTCCAATGGCCTCCGGATCGCCCAGGAGATCGCGCCCGGTGTCGCTAGAATAATAGCCAGAAGACACTTCGCGATGGGAAGGAATGACCCCTCAGCCCTTGACCGGAAACAGTAATGTACCCCTGGTGTTCTACCCAAGAGGCCCGTTGCCCGGAAGGAAATAAGGGGTCTCATTATTGCTGAGTAGAGTTAGGCTTTCATTGTTGTTGAATAGCGCAGGTCGAAATGCATTTTTAAAAAAAAACGAGCAAGGTGATGCCATGTTGGCCTGAGAACGCTCATCTTTCAGAATGTATTATTGAAACAAATTACATCAAAAGGCTTAAACATGCCCGCCCGCAACCTCGAGAGCAAGGACAAGGATGGTCTGGGTTGCAACTTCCGTAAAACCGAAAAGTTTCGGCCACTGCAAGTGCCATCAGACGGCGGCCACCGTGTTAATCCGTCTTCTGGATAGATAAACGCTCGCAAAAACACGAAAAATAGAGATCATACCTTCACCGTTCCAGTTCAACCACCAGATTCCAGCCCCATTTCGCGGTGCTTTAAGGGCCAATCCATTCTTTTTATTAGTCTAAAAATTTTACACGCGAAATATGCGCTCAGACTGCCTTCTGAATACAAGATCTAGTGTTATGAAGCGTCCAAGAATACTTTTTCAGAGGCATCGTCATTTTCGCTCAACCATTGGCCACAACTTAATATTAACTGCTAAGCCAACGCTGCGCGGTATACGGAGACTGCAACGCCTGGGGCGAGGCTTATGTTTCTAAGATTTTCGAGTGTGCATGCTCAGAATTACGTCATACAGTTTGTATGACTAGTTGGTTAAAGTGTATAAAGGTAATCATTTCAGAAGCGTCATCATTTTCATCTACCGGTGGGCCACGGCTAAATATTAGCTACTGACCTAACGCTCCGCGGACTACGGAGACTGCAACGCCTGGTGTCGAGGCTTTTGTTTCTAAGGTTTGCGAGCGCGCATGTTAAAAACACATTACATAAATTGTATCCCCAGTCCATTTCGACCAAATGGTGCGCATTTTCAGACAAACATGGACTTGCCCATGTTAATACACATTGTTTACCACTCGATCTGCAATCAAATTTTCACCTTTAAATTTGGATCAAACATATCGATATACAATCTACCTTCGCGATGTCCTCAATGTCGGTAGAACCCAGATACAAATTTGGCAAAGGTTCTAAATTATGTCCGTTTAGAAAGAGCCAACCAACCATTTGCAAATCAAGAGCGCCGGCGATTTCTTCCATGCAGTCGTTCAACGCCTGATTTCTGCAGTTTATTGACCTCAAAATGCAAACAGAATTGAGCTCACGGTAGCTCCTGGTTTTTGTTCTAGTTACAAGGTAAAACCAGCAATAAAACGAGGAAAACCATGCCAATTGTTAACAAGTAACATATATCCGGGGATTCCGGGGGATCACGATAAGATGGGCTTTCGCCAGCCTTGTGTTGCTCCTTGGCAAGGCTTTGGCTTCGCCCCCGTTAAACACAAAAGCAAATCAAGTCGTATACGTTGCATGATGGGCAATGAAGTATCCGTTGGGCCAATTCATACTTAATGCAGACAGCTTCCAGGGGGCTATTTTTCTGCGGTGGTGTGGTGTGAGGGAAGATAATTCGGAAAAAGATCCTGTTGCAGGTGTCCAACACCTGTTTCATACACCATGCAGTAGAAACGCTGGTCCAAAAGTATGCAACAAAGCAGCCATACGATCAGTTCGCGGTCAGTCATGCGGGAGACACCCGGACCAGGGCAGTGGTCACCCGGACGGCGGAGAGGAGCAGGGCCCAACTAAGGAGCATATGACAGATGGACCTTATTATGTGGCTTGATTCTTAAAAGAGGATCTCCAGTTTTATGGCTTTTGTCACATTGTATCTAGCAATTTCAGGCTGCCGATTTTTTTTCAAAGAAATCAAGGCGCATGAAAAATCTGTCGCGCTGTGAGCCATCGATTCACTTTCCGAAAATCTCACCGGCCTATGTCCAGGCCGCGTTTTGGTATCTACTCTGTGGAGGCAGATGCCTCCTCAACGACCTAAGTTGCCCACCCGCTCGTGGAATTTCGCCTTCCAGAAAAGGCAATGTTGAAATGGAATAATAATCCTAAGAAGCTGGATAGCCTTATTTGCCGAATGACATAGATGATTCGAATAGGCGAGATTGTGCACCAGTGAGAAACAGCTCTGGATGCATATCTAGCATAGCAGCCATGACATTTGAATGAAGAGCGATAAGAACCTCCATCTCTTCCCCCCCCCCCCTTGGTCATCAGGCTTGCTTTCCAGAAAAAGTTCCTGAAGTACACCCTGAGTTTGGTCCTTCCACTTTTTGAAACGTTCCTACACTTATGTGTCAATGTCCATTGTTATGGCGTTTTTGTACCATTTTTATCAATGGGGCCGCTCTCTCTCTCTCTCTCCCGCCTTTGTTCCGTTAACGGTATTAAGGTGCAATGTACACCCATAAGGCAGCGGTCAACGCTATCTAGTGCCTTTAACATCAGCTTTCGTTTACTCTCTCCAAGGTAGGTGGTGACGGGCCCGCCAACAGTGACTCGATAATGTGGATATCACGTCGTCGCACGTGTCCTGGGCGTAGGTCCAGTGAGCGTAGGTTTCGTGAGCGTAAGTCCAGCGGGCGTAGGTCTCCTGAGCGTAAGTCCAGCGAGCGTAGGTTTTGTGAGCGTAAGTCCAGCGAACGTAGGCCTCGTGATCATAGGTCCAGCAAGCGTAGGTCTTTTGAGCGTATGTCCAGCAAGCGTAGGTCTCTTGAGCGTAGGTCTAGCGAGCGTGGGTCTCGTGAGCGTAGGTCCAGAAAGCTAGGTCTCGCGAGTGTAGGTCCAGCTAGCGTAGGCCTCGTGAGCGTAGGTCCAGTGAGCGTAGGTCTCCTGGGGGTAGGTCTTCTGGGTTTTCATAAATATTTCGCCAGTTGTGACAACACAAAAACATCAAGACAAAACGTACGCACGCCCACCCCACGCTCCGAGCCCATGAGACCGCTCGATACAAAAAAAAAACCCTTACCATTCGATGCAAAGCAGTTGATTATCCATCCCTCCCGGAAGATGGTGACCTCGAGTCATATCGAATGCTTCCAGAACTGTCCCAAACGCCAGCATTGGCTACAGGTATCCTAATACTCCGAGCCTTTCAGACCGATCGCTATGGGACCTTCATCATTAATCCATCATAGCATGGCCATGGATAACATCCATGGCACGGGTATTGACTTTTATTCCTTTGTGAGGGCCCTGGCCTCCCGATGCTGAGTTAAGCCCGCTGATGTGAGCCCGAACCCGCTGTTTTGGCTTAGGCCCAGAACATTTTTTGTTTGGAGCTGGAATATTACAAATTACAAAGGCGCAGGGATGTTGTCTTCTATTTAGGTGGGGATGGGAGGTGGGATGGGCGAGAGTTGAGGTGCTTAGCCCCAAACCCCAGCGTGGGCTCTCATCCCTAAAGTTTGAGCGAAA